TGGAGGGGAGGGGGAAGCGGGAGAGCTGCGAGCCCAGACTCGCAGGACTCACCTGTCCCTTGGGCCCTGGCTCGCCAGACTCTCCCTGCAGACCCAGGAACTACGGTGAGGAGGTGGGGCCCCCTTCTCCCACACCGCCCGCCCATCCCCTCCAACCCCCTGCAAGCCCACCAACCTTCTCGCCTTTCTCTCCAGGGAGGCCGGCCACGCCCGGGTCGCCCTGCGGAGAAAGGACTAGGGTCGGCGGTCTGTCGCCAGCCGATGGAGACAGGGCGAGAAGGGGGCGGCCCCCCACGGGAGACTTGTCTGGGAGGGGGCGCGATGTGTGCTGGGAAGGCGATGTACTCACCACGCCGCCACGAGGGCCCGTCTTGCCCGGGGAACCCTGCAGAAAAGAGGAGTGAGTGGCGTGGGGCGCTCCAGGGTGTCCCCCGACCCTGACCCGGGCCACACCTCTGTCTGTAGGGCTGGCCCTAGGTCACCTGTTCCCCACATTTGGAAATCCGAAGAGGGCCCACTGAGCACCCACGTCCCTGAAGCAGTTTGCCTTTGTTAAGGTATTGATGTTTTAATGGCCCCCCCTCCACCTCCCCACCCCTGGCTCCTTCGGCCTCATTTGATACCTTGTCTCCCTTGATGCCTGGCAAGCCTTGGGGCCCTGGGATTCCAGGGGATCCCTGCTCTCCTTTGGGGCCCTGAGAGGGGGAGGAAAGCATAGGGTTAAGTAAAACGGTGCCCAGGTGTGCTCCCTGAGCCCTGACCTCAGCCACCTGAACTCACCTGCCGCCCTTGCAGGCCGGGCTGCCCTACTGGCCCCCTCTCGCCCTGATCGCCCTGAAAGGGAAAGAGAGGGTGGTGCCTGGGTGACCAGCGGGGGCAGCCAGCCCCCAGCCCCTGTGTCCTCCATGCCAGTCCTCCATGCCTGCTGTCACTGGCCTGAGGGCCTTTTGCTCCACTTCACAGACCAGCAAACTGAGGGTCAGACTGAGGTGGCCTGCCCTGCATTAGGAGGGAGGGAGTGGGCCTTGGTGCCAGTGAGGGGACCCAGAGCGAAGACTCAGCAGTACCAGCTGGAGCACAGTCCCCAAGGGAGGGATCGCTGTGCCAGGCACTTACCTTCTGTCCTATGATGCCTCGGGGACCAATTTCTCCTCGAGGCCCTGGTTCTCCCTGGGGGACAGAGAAACCATAGTCGTCCTCCTAAGACCCTCCCTCTCACACGCTGCCAGCCCCACCCTCCCCCTGGCCCAGGACGCATATGCTCAGGAGCCTAGGAGCTGAAGCACTCTCAATGAGTTGTCCTGTGCACTCTTACTTAACGTCTGTTTCTTCCGCTAAACTGGATGCTTCCTGTGTGTAGGGGACTAGGTCTGCCTGAGTATTTAACACACTACAGGGCTTTGGTACATGTTCACAGAAGGAATCAATGAATGAATGAATCGCTCTGTTGGGCCCCAGTCAGCCTGGCCATCTGGGCAGGCCTCACCCCAAGACAAAACCAGCTCCACTCTCCACTGCACTGTCCACAGAGAAACGGGGGCTCAGGGAGGAGAAGAGTGTCACTGGATTAGTGGGGCAGTGACAGAGCCCAGATTAGCACCCATGGTCCCTTGCAGGCTGGGTGGAGCTCTACTACACCCCCACCCTTACCTCCAGCCACACACAGCCCCATGTCAAGTGCAGGTGGAGGCATTCAAGGTTCTTGGGCCTGCAACGGTCTATGTCAGTAGACTGGACAATGACTTACCTCTTTGCCAGGGGGACCAGAGAATCCAGGGAGGCCTTGCTGGCCTGGCTCACCCTGCAGGAAAACACAGTTCTAAGGTTAGTCTGGGTGGTCCAGACAGGCTCTTTGAGGAAGCCCAATGGACTCGAAACAGACTCGGGAACCATCTGAGTTGGGGAGAGGTTGTTCTTAGTGGATCTGCTGATTTTCCATGCCACTGGGGCTCCCCTGACCTGCGCTGGCAGAGGGGAGGGGCTGTTAGACCCCAGGGTTTGTGGCCAGGCTGGTCACTGAGCTTTGGATGAGGCCTGGGGTTTTCCGTCTTTAAGCCATGCCCCTAGCCCCTCCAGGAACCCTTGTTCCAATAGGACCAATTCTGGCCCCAGTCTTGAGTCACCTCACCTTGTCTCCAGGGCCCCCTTTTGTCCCAGGCTGGCCTGGCATACCCTGCAGGAAGAGAGGGGACATCAGCTCTGACCCCACATGGGGCCCTCCGTGTCCCATCCCCATCTTGGGAAAGCTGAAGAGCAGACGGCCTCATGAAGCTGGCCGGGCCCTCCACTCAGGGTCTCCAGAGCCCAGGTGGGAGAGGAGCGGGGTACAGGAGGCCTGCCTACCAGAGGTCTGCGAGGAAAAGATGCATAGACTGCTGTGCTCACAGGCACACGGGCTCACACAGGCACACATGCAGCCACTCAATCAATGCCACCTTCGTAGAAGGCGTGGGGCGGAAAAGGGTGTCAGAGATGAGAAGGCACAGAGACAGGGAAGGCCATTTCAAGCAGGGAGACCTGCAAAGGCAAAAGGCTGGGGATAGAAAAGCCAAGAAGGCACTTGTTGGGAGTGTGGAGAAAGGAGCACCACCGTAGAGAGCGGACCGGTTCCCTGGAGAAAGGGGGGGTGGGGGGTGGGGGGGAAAGCCCTGGGCGAGGTGGATTGACCCAGTGGCTGCAAGTGTAGGCTGTGAGGATGGTGCAGGACTGGGCAGTATTGCCTCCTGTGTGCACAGGGTCGCTACCAGTCAGAGCCAGAGAAGGGAGGGAACGAGGAGGGGCTGGGGCTGAAGGAGGAGGAGGTTGGGGTCAGGTTTTAGTAAGCCTTGGATCCCAAGATGAGCTGTAAGGACAAAGATTGTCTAACTCTTGTTCATAAATAATTTTCCGTCACTTACGAGCCCTGGTGGGGTCATGGGTACACGGCCTGCTGACTGCCAAGTGAACCGTGTGAAACCACCAGGCGCTCTGTGGGAGAATGATGGGCCTTCTGCTCCCATGAACAGTGCCGTCTCAGAAACTCACAGGGGTGGTTCTACCCAGTCCTGTAGGGTCGCTGTGAGTCGGCATTGACACGATGGCAGGGAATTTCTGGCTTTGGAGTTTTAGATATATGTACCTAAGGCACTCGATAACTGTTGGAAGATGGAAGTGAATGGCAGTTTCCTGGAGGCCAGGGGAAGCTATGGAAAGTGCTTTGGCAGCGTAATGATCGGATTCTACTTGGGCAGCACGGAGGGGGTGGAATGACTGGAGCACTTATCCATGGATGTGGGACCCTGGAGGTGGTGAGGGGTCTGAGGGAACAGCCGCCTGAAAGACTCCTGTAGCCAGCGGATTTTAACCTCATCAGCTGTTCATGCCATCGCGGGGAAGGTGAGCACAGAGTGCCTGCTCTCTTGGAGACCAGGGAGGAGAAGCAATTTGGGGGATGTGTGACTCCACTAGATACTCACCGCTAGACCTTGGTGGCCCGGGTTTCCTGGCCGCCCCACCTGTCCTGCGCTGCCCTGGAGAGACAAAGAGCTCAGATTAAGCTCCAGTCAGAGGGTTGCCACAGAGCAGGTAGGGAAGCTGAGGCATTTCACGGGACACGTGATCCAAAGCCCATGGCCACAGTGCGATGGGGCTCCTGATGCTGATTGGGGGGAGGGGGGGTCCTGACCTTTACCCCAGTCCCACCAGCCACCCCCACTCGTACCTTCATGCCCGGTGTGCCTGGGGTCCCATCCTTGCCATCGATGCCTGGGGGACCCTGCTCAGGAGGAAAGTTCAAGGAAACTCACAAGGGGGCGGTGCCTGGGTCAGGCCGCCCCCACCTGCCTACTGCCCTCTGTACCGGTAAGCCTGGGCTTGTTGGGAAGCCCCAACAGGATGAGGGGAGCTGCCGTGTAGGAGGGACTGCAGGGGAGGAGCTTTGGCCCTGCCCCGGCCAGGGACGGGTTTCTCAAGAGTGCTTCGCACTTTTGTTTCCCTAGGTCATCACGCCTCTTTTACAGGTGAAGAAACTGAGGCACAGAAAGGGATTGGCCAACCCACCCGCCTGCAACCGATTCCTGGGCTCCTCTTAGAGGGGGTGTGACCCAAGTTGTCCAGGACCTTGCCCCCTGCCCGCCGGGCGTGGGCCTGGCACTTACAGCAGCTCCTTTCGGGCCTATTAGGCCCTGGGGTCCTCGAACACCTTGACTGCCCTGCAAAATAAACAGATGAGGTCATCTTCAGGCCGTGGACAAGAGTGAACTCTGCGTCCCAGGGTCCTTCGGCACAGGCCACACTACAGGGACTGGAGGAGAAGGGCCCAGGAGTGACCTTTCTGGCCTGGAAACAGCTGGAAGGAGTAGGGGTCAGTTGGGCCAGGGCAGGGGTGGGAGCCTGAGTGCCATTCTTGGTAGAGACAAAGCAATTAAATGCAATGTGTCGGCTTTGTTCTGAAAGCAAGACCAATAATAGATTTTGTTTTTGTTTAGCTAAGGGGGAGCAAAAGGAACCCAGACTGGTGAAGATCGTTGTTGATTGGATTTTGATTCAGAGAGGCCCCGGGCGACACAGTAGAACTGCCTCTAGGTTTTCTTGGCTGTAATCTTTATTAGCCAATCTTCCTTCTTCAGAGCTGCTGGTTGGCTTTGAACCCCAACCTGGTGATGAGGAAATTGTTAATTATGCCTGGTGGCCACAGTGTTAGGCGTTGGGCTGCTAACTGCAAGGCCAGCAGTTCGAAACCACTAGCAGCTCCTCAGGAGAGAGATGAGGTTTTCTATCCCCATCAAGAGTCCATCTTGGAAACCCAGAGGGGCAGTTCTGTAAGGTCTTTCTGAGTTGGCATCCACTCGAAGGCAGTGAGATTGGATCCAGTTTGGTGATAATGATATTGTATTATCCAAGAAAAGGTTCATAATTTTTGGAGATACAGAAGTAGGTGTGTGTGTGTGACATGATATTAAGGATTTGCTTAAAATATCAGAATAAAACAATACCAATCAAGCAAAGGAAGGACGGCAGGAAGGAAGGAATGGTTAAACTGAGAATGGCAAACTGTTCCTTCTGGAAGCTAGGAGGTAGGTGGGTGCACGAGGCTTCTTTCTGTTCTACGTCTGTGTGTGTCTGGTGTAACAAGGAGCTTACAACAAGTACACACAGACTGGAGAGGCCTGGGATCCAGACCAAATCCAGTTAACCTCATGAATGATTTGCTGGCATTTCATTGTCTGGCTCCAGTGACCATGGCACCGGCTCCCATGGCCTCTCCCGGAGTGTGATTTTGATCAGCAGCCAGCTGGTGGTGGAGGGGCAGGGGTTGGTGGGGTTGATCAGGCAGCCCAAGGCTAAGGTGACCAGATTTTAACATTGGTAAAGTGGGACACCATTGATAAAACTCATATCCTGGCGAAATAGCCACATGGCAGCCGAAAACCATATACCCTAGCTTGTCGTGCATTCTTTCCAAAAATTGGGACTTTTTAAAAATGCTGCGGGACGTGGGAAAATTGTTAAAAATCAGGACTGTTCTGCCAAAAGCAGGACGTCTGGTCACCTTACCCAAGGCCTCCACGTAGACAGTCCTCCCTGAACCAGTCCTCTCTCTCTCTCTCTCTCTCTCTCACACACACACACACACACACACACACACACACACACACACACACACACACACACACACACACACACACACACACTCCCTTGTGAGTAGGGGTGAGTCCTACCCAATAGGCCCCCGGATCCCTGGATGAACAGGGGTGGCTGAGGACTCACCACATCGCCCTTGTCCCCAGCTCGGCCCGGGGGTCCTCGTGGCCCCTCTTCACCCTGGCAGGAAGGACAGTAGGGACCCAGGTTCCGTGAATCAGAGAGAGGGGCACTCCCTTTGCAGGCCCAGGAGACCCGGCTGGAGGGGGGAGGGGGGCGGCTGGACAGGAGCAGACTTACCGGGGACCCAGCAGATCCAACGGAGCCCACCATGCCTTTGTACCCCTGGGGGCCCTGGGGGAGGAAAGGGCTGCAGGTCAGACCTGGCTGGGCCCCAGGGACCAAGTGACCTCTGACTCCAGACAAGTAACAAGTGTCCCCAGAGATGGCGGCAGCTATCGCAGGACACCCCCAGCCTCACCGTCTCTCCCTTGGATCCTTCCATGCCTGGGTAGCCCCTGATGCCCTGGGGACCCTGTCAAGACAGAAAAGTGACAGTGGTGGCAATTAGAAGGCTCAATTCATGATGCTTCTCAGACTCTCCTCTTCCATCTTCGCAAAGCTCCTCAGGTTCCCAGCCACCGCAGAGGAGACAGTGCGCCTCCGAGCTGGGGTGGGGCTCTTCAGGATCAGGCAGAGGGACCTGGACCTCAGCTGGGTCCTCTAATGGGCATCCTTGGTCCTGTGTCCTCATTTCTGACAGCCCACTGCCTCCTCCCCCACCCAGTCCCGGTTGTACACAGGAGTCTCTTTTATAAGCCAGAGCAAGGAAATAACTTAACTCTGCGAGGACGCCCAGGAAGAGGGGGGAGAGGGGAGGCCTCTCTGGGAGGTGAGCCTTACCGGTGGTCCAGGGATCCCTTGCTCTCCAGATGCACCCACATCTCCTTTGGGGCCCTAAGGAATAGCAATGAGCTGTCAGACGGAGAGTCAGGTACACAGGTAACTAAAGACACCCATTTCCTTCCCCACCAGAAGCAGACAGAAACCAGGGAAAACTGAGGCTCACTCAGGAGAATGGACTTTCTTGAAACACAGACCAGGAACAGAGGCAGGCCTCTCGGGTCCTGGCTCTGCCCCCCACCCCACCCCTGGGATCCCTAGGGGAAGATGGAGACCCTGGTAGGATGTCCTCCAGGTACCCTCCCTCGTTCCCTCCCTCCCTGGGCCCTCAGCCCACATACTCACAGGCTCCCCCTGCCGGCCAGGATCGCCCAGAATCCCGCGCTTTCCAGGGTGTCCCTGTAAGGAAGGAGAGTGCAGGTGAGGCCACTCCTGGGCAGCTGTGCCACTCTGCAGCGCCAAGGATTAGGAGCGCTCACCTTCACGCCCTGCAGCCCCTGGGGGCCTTTCACACCTGCCGGACAGTTGGCTGGACACTGGGAAGAAAAGCATACGGGCCCATTGGTCACTGTGCTGCCCAGGCTAGCAGGACAGTGCTCAGAGCACCCATTCTCCTGCAGCTGCCCTCCCCACACCTGGCCCTATCTCCATGGCTGCCCCTCTCCAACTGCCCCCCCCCTCCCGCCCCCGCCCCTGCTCACCAGGAAATCCGCGCTGCCCTCCAGCCCCTGGATGGTTCCCGAGCGGCCCTGCGTGGATACGTGTGATGTGTGACGTGTGATGAAGTTTGTGACCAGCGCTTCCCCACCCCTCCTTGTGCCAAGGACCCTTCTCTTCCCCCAGGGCTGAGGACACTTACCGGCTTCCCAGGGGGCCCTGGAGGTCCTGATGGTCCTTCTGGTCCGGGGTCACCCTGCACCAGAAAGGGCCCAAGTCATAACCCTCTTCCACCCCTGCCCCCTCCCTCTGTGCCTGCCGCTGCCCCGCCCTCCAGGCTACCTGCCTGATTGGCAGGGGATGGCCCCACCCCTTGAACTTCCTGAAAGACCTACTGTACGGTGGTCTAGCAGGAGGGGCGTTTACTGGCACCCTGGGGGTTAGAATGGGCTTGGGGAGTCCCTGGAGGGAAGCTGGAAGGGTTGGGGGGGGGGATGGAACTCCTTGCCCGTGTGAGGTGTGGGGGTGGAAGGCACTAAGCAGGGTGAACAGAGGGGTGCCAAGCTCACCTTGGGGCCTGGGATTCCAATCTCACCAGGGAGGCCAACAGGTCCAGGTGGTCCCTGGGGGCAGAGACATCCATGGCCCGGATGCTCAGAGGGTCAGCCATGCCAGGCCTGAAGGAATGCATGCCAAAGGGTACCCGAGCCCCCTTCTCCACTTTTACCCTGTGACTAGCCCTGAGAGACTGACCCATTGGGACTTTAAGAACCAGCGAATTCCAGAGAGGGTAGACAGACCTAAAGTGGGCTGCCTCGGGGCATCTGGTGAGTCTACCTATCCCTGATGCCATCACAGTGACCTGTTCTCTACCCCCCACCCCCCACCGTGGACATTCTGTCCTTCCCTGGCACTCCTGGGACCCCACTCCACCCTGAGGACTTACAGGAGGTCCAGCGAAACCAGGGCCCTGGAACAGAAGGGAAGGGGATTGGCTTCATGGCTCTCTCCTTCCCCCCACCCCCCTACCCACAAAATGCCCCTTGAAGCCCTGTGGGTATACTCACGGGCAGGCCTGGGGGACCTGGGAGCCCGGGCTGGCCCTGCAGAAACAGTAAGAGAGGCTCAGAAGGTAAGGTATCCTGGGCCCCTGCCCTCCTTACTGTAGCCCCTCCTGATCTCTGGCCCTCTGTAGACCAGGCTGTGGTCCTAGCTGGCTACCTACCTTGACTCCAGGGATTCCCAGGGGGCCAGGCTCTCCCTTGGCTCCAGTTAAACCCTTTGGAAGGAGTAGCTAGGGTCAGTGAGGGACAAAGCCCCTCTGACTCGCAGGGCAGGGCCCAGACTCCCTTTCACCACACTCTGCAGGTCCGGGGACCTGAACAGCACCCCTTCCCTTTCCCCCAGTTCCCATAGTAATCTGGAAAGCAGGACAGGCTAAGAGTCTTTGGGAAGAAACCAAGGTCAGAGACGTACCATAGGCCTCATGTGTCCCCGGTTAGGCTTCTCCAAGACCTAGACAGGTCTGTCTACCCTTGGCAACTTTCTGAGAGCTGGGGTTGTCTTCTTGGTTAGATTTGCTAATCCTGCTCACCTGAGTGGCTGTAGTAGGAAGCACTTTGTAAATTTGGGAGGGTGTGGGTGGGTGTGGAAGAGTCTAGGGCAGTGGTTCTCAACCTTCTTAATGCTGCCACCCTTTAATACGGTTCCTCATGTTGTGATGATCCCCCAAACATGAAATTATTTTCATTGGTACTTCATAACTGTAATTTTGCTACTGTTATGAATCGGGCAACCCTTGTCAAAGGGTCGGTTGACTCCCAAAAGGGTCACGTCCCACAGGTTGAGAACCACTGGTCTGGGGGGCTGGTCACAGTCCTGGCCCCACCTCCTGAATCAGCATGGCAGAGGTAACTCTTGGGGGCCTCTGCTTCCTTCTGCCTTTATTGACTGGCCCAAGGGGGCCCCCAAGCAGATGGCTGCCCAAGTGGCCCTGTAACTGGCTGTGTCTAAGAGCCCATGATCTTGGGGGGTCCTGGGGGTTCTGTGGCATCAGTTAATGATGTTTCTCTCCAGGGCTGGGTCTGGGGGCCAACTGGCTGGAAGGAGAGAAGAGAGATCTGGAGACTGAGCACAGGAGCTGTCCCCCCACAGAATGTGATGCTTGGAGGCCAGAAACGTGGCTGCTGCAGATGACAGGGCACCCCGTGAAACCAGACACCCCTCTTGGCCTCCATTTGCATGTGTGTGTGGTTCCAGGGGATCTCGGGTCACATGAAAGTGAGGGGGGAGCTCACAGCTGCCCAGCTCTGCACAGAACAGTGAAGATGCCAAATGGCCAAGAATGAGTGGAGCCTAACCAGCCCCCCAGGCACTCCAGTACTCACGGCGATCCCAGGCTTGCCATCGGGCCCATCGGGCCCAGGCCGGCCAGGCTCCCCCTTAGCTCCCTTGAAAACAGAGGAGAAGCAGACTTAGCAGGAGGAGGGCGCACAGGAAGGGTCCAGGGTCAAGGGGGGAGCAAGCACTCACCGGAGGGCCAGGCTTTCCAGGGGGTCCCTTGTCACCCTGCAAGATGAGAGCTGTCAGACAGCATTCTTCACCTCTAGGAAACCCCAAGTGGGCACAGAGAGGGCACTTGCTGTCCTGTCTCAACTGCTTCTTCTCTTCAACTGTCTTCCCCTGTAACCTGCATCCCCTCAGCCTTGCCCTTTTGAAGAAAACAGCCCTCTTTCCTTAACAACAATCATAGCTGGGTGGAGACTAACCCCAGGCGGCCATGTGAACAAGATGAATCAACATGTGGGTGGGTCTGAGACACCAGATGTTGATGAGAGACTAATTATGACCCCTGCACAGGGGGCTGTGGCCACCAAGTCCCCTCCAGAGCTGGTGTCGCAGATTCGGACAGGTGGGGGGCGGGGCAAACCTAGACCTTTCAGGGGAACTTGCAGGAGGTGAGCTACCTCCAGTGAACAGCAGCTCTCCTCTGGATCGCAGGACTGGGTCAGTGTCCAGGGACTAGGGGTCCATCAGGAGGCGAGTGGTTTGGGAACCTAAAAGGACCCCTGGTGGTTTAGTCAGCAAGAGCAAGGTCAGCAGTTGGAGACCACCCCCAGCTGCTCCGTGGGAGAAAGATGAGGCTTTCTACTTCCATAAAGAGCTCCAATCTTGGAAACCTGCCGGGGTAGTTCTAGTCATCCTGGGGGGCGGGGTGGGGTGGGGTGGGGCTATGAGTTAGAATCCGATCTCTGGCAGTGAGGTTGTTGTTTGGAGGAGTCCTGGGGGCACTGTTAAGTAAACCTTGGACTGCTAACTGCAAATTCAGAGGTTCAAGTCCATCAGCCACTCAGAGGAAGAAATGTGAGGCTATTTGCTTGATGCCAGTGGGTTTGGTCTTTTGGGTTTCAGAGGGGCCTTGGGGCTCCATGAAGGAACTCGTGGGCTAGTGAAGCAGCAGGAGGAACACAGAGGCCTGTAGGCATTTCGCATTCTGCAGCAGCCAGGGTCTGGCCTGGACCCAGCCAGCATCCTGTGTTTGGGGGTGGGGGCCCCAGGTTGAATAGAAGTCTGTCCAGGAAAGTAAACATCTGGAGCCGCCTCCAGAACGGGGTGTTTAACCCTCAGCATGCTAAAGAGACCAGGATCCAACCCAGAGTTTCTAAATTGGAATTTCAAAAGCAAAGAGAAAAGACTGTCCCTAGCTGGTGAGCCGTCTAGCCAAGACTCCCAAGCTACCTGAAGAGCGTCCAGGCGTACCAGGGACAGAAAGAGGAATTCGGGCGTCTCCTCCGGGAAGGGAAGGGAGGGAGGAGAGGGGGATAAGGATTCGTTGTGAGCTGTGGCTGTCGTTCGAACAGCAGCTCCTTGTCCACTGGCGGCTGAGTCGGGCTCAGCAGCTCCGAGACGGTTTGAGGATTTTGCAGAACAACGGACTCCTTGTGGGGAGGGCCGCCTACTGGCCACAGCGGGGCACTGCGCTTTCAGCCTCCCCCATCCCCTCGGCCGGCCGCGCACACAAAGCTGCCCTTTGTCGGCTGGCCGCCCGCCCTCCTTCCCGCGCGTGCGCTCTGAGGTCTCAGACTCACGTCTATGCCGTCGGATCCCGGCACTCCCGGCGGGCCCGGAGGACCCGGGGGCCCTGGCTCTCCCGGCGGACCTCTCTGAAAACACACGGAAGGGTGCAACTTTCAAACACTGCAGCGTCTTAGGGGCTGCAGGTACTCCGGGGAGTGTATGTGGGGGGGGGGGCCCAGGTGTGCACCCCCCGGGGGGGAGGAGCTTAGCTGATAGCGGTGAGCTTTCCTCTGCTGAGAGCCCATCCGCACACTATCTCTGTGGAAGAAACGGGTTCAGAAAGTTTTAAGGGACTCACCTGGACCCATCTGGCCCTAGAGTGCCTGGGTGGAACAAACTGCCCTTGGCTGCCAACCCAAACGTTGGAGGTTCGGGCCCACCCAGAGATGCTTCAGGAGAAAAGCCCGGTCTCTACTTCGGAACGACCAGTCACTGGAAAACCTCTGGGGCCCAGTTCTATCTGCCACACACGGGGGTCGCTGTGAGCCCGTGGCAGGCTCCATGGCAAGGGGAACTGGTCACAGACTACGGTGGCTCCAGGATTCAGGCCTAGGCCAGCCCCACTGGGGCCATGCACCCTGTCCCCCTTCCGCCGTCGTGGGGGGCACGGCTGGAGGTGGTGAGGTTCGGCTGAATTCAGAAGTACGGAAGCGTGCGCAGTCTCAGTAATGCAGGGCCGTCTTTAGCGGGATTTTCACATGAGTGGGACCACTTCTCCCCTCCCTCGTTCTCTGTCACCCCAGCACTGAAGGCCAGGGGACGGGAGACGCGGGTACTAAGTCCCAGCTGGGGCACCCTGGCCTGCCCAGCTCCGCTCCCCGACCTAGGCGGGGGTGCGGCGCGCTCTCCAGGCGGGGACGTGCGGGGCTGGCGACGCCAAGGCCAGCGGTCACCCGCACACGGCTCGGTGGGTTCTTGGAAGTCGGAGCGAGGCGGCCGCCAGCAGGCGCGCGGGGGAGGCCGGCCCGTGAATGGGCACCATTGTCTCCCCGCCACCTGGGCTCTCCTGGCTGCCAGCACCGGGCGCCAGCGCCTGTCCCTGGCGGCCAGTCCCGGGCGCTGCGGAGCATCTCCGGACAGGGTCCCTCTGGCTCCCCGGCTGCCCCACCTCCTTTCCCGGAGGGAGCCTGGGCGTGCAGCTTAGATGTCCCCACGGAGGGGACCTGCGCGGCGGGACTGCCTCCAGGGGCTCCCCCGGGCTGGGAGTGCCAGGAGAGGGTGGGGACAGACCCCTGGGCTCCAGACCCCAGACCCCGCACCCTGGACGCGAGCCCGGGGGGCTGTCGGACTTACGATCTGCGCCAGGGCGAGACCGAGCGCCTGTAGAAGGACAAGGAGGCTGCGGGCGGCCGCCGCGGCCATGGTGGCTCCGAGGGGGGACGGCGACGGCTGCACGAGCACCGACGGGCAGAGGTGGCGGCGCTGGCTGCTCGGGGACGCCGCGGGCGGACCTCCTGACTGCGGGGCGGGGGCAACAGCGCTGTCACCTGAGAGGGCCACGCAAGGGGAGGCCGGCGCCCTCCGCCCAGCTCCGCCCAGCCGCCAGTGCCCACCCTCCACCCTCTCCCTCGGCTTCCCGCTTGAGGGGCAAGTGAGGTTCCTGAGAAGGCCGAGCGCCGGCCTCTGGGAGGGCCTTGCAGGGCCCCCGCATCTTCTCTGCACCCCGCCCGCCCCATCCCTTCCACCTCGGGCCTGCGAGCCCTGGCGGGACAAGTCCAGGCTCCGCCAAGGCTCTGGCCGAGCAGCCCAAGGAGTCGGCAGACCTTGTATGAGGGTCTGTCTAGCCCACTCCTACCCCCTCCTACCTACAGTCTCCCGTCTCGCTGCCTGTAAACACACCTGGCCTCCACCATATTAAAGCACGGGAGGTCCCGTGGATACCCTGTCCTGCGTGGCCAAACTCACGAGGGGGGGAGTTTTCTCTGCGCCCCTTCTCTTCCCTGCTTCAGCCCCAGTGGAGAGATCACCCCTGTCCAGGCCTCCTGACAGGAGTCTTGGCCATATCTGCCCTTCCTTGGCCATTTTGAAGTCTTCACCCACCACTGGGCCCTCTCTTCTTTCTCCTCCTTGGCGTTTCCTCCCTGTGGCTCCCTAAGAACCAGAGGCGCCAGGATTGGGCCTTCTTGATTCCTGACAGCCCCTGCAGGGTTTTTCACACCTACCTGCTCAACCTGTCCTTTCATTCACATTGGGACAGTACTTTGGAATCTCATTCCCTGACCCCTCTCCTCAAAAAGTCAAACCCACTCTGGTCAAGTCCAGTGTGACCCATGGTTAGCCTACCAGACAGAGTAGAACGTCCCCAGAGGGTTTCCACGGCTGGAATCTTCACAGAAGCAGACGATTGTCACACCTGGCTTCTTCTGAACTGCCGAGGGGCTCAAACTGCTAACCTTGCCATCAGCAGCCTAGCACTCTGGCCAGATTGCCATCAAGACTCCTACTCCGTGACCACAGGCAACGAAAGCAATCTAACTTCCAGTTTCCTCCTTTGTAAAATGGGGTATAATACTAGTAATTCTTATGTCACAGGGTTTGGGGTTTGGGAGGGTTTTTTTTGGTAAGGATCCAATGAGATACCATATTTCTGCCCAGATAAGCAGTGTATACAGTTTTTGTAAAACTCTAAAAATGACAACCCTCTCCTATGTTTGCTTCTATGCACTGAATGTTATATCCATGTGCATGTTATTTACATGGGCACATATGTGCAAAAACATGGTAATGCCTAACCCAGCACCAGTACATAGTAAAGCAAACCAACCCAATGCAAACCCATGGCCATCGAGTTGATGCTGACTCACAGCAACTCTCTCTAGGGTTTCTGAGGCCATAAATCTTTACCAGAGCAGATGGCCGCATCTTTCTCCTTCAGAGAAGCTGGTGGGGTTGAACTGCCAACCTTGCAGTTAGCATTCCGGCAGTTACCCAACAGTACCAGTAAGTGCTAGATAAATTTCTTATCCATTGTGACTTGCTGAGAATCCACTGTTTACCACACTTGCCCAATGGGGAAAACTGGATACAAGTTTGCTAAAACAATGATGCCCTGAAATCTAGAAAAGTCCAGTCACATGGGACTGGTTAGCAAAGGGTTCTGAGCATTGAAAGATGATCCAGAACTTGAATATGGAAGAAAAGGTGCAAGAAAATGTAATTGCTCTTCCTAATAGAATGAGGAATCATTTAGAATTTATTTTAGAATAAACTTGTCTATATATACAAAAATAACTTGCTTCAATTTTTTACAGTAATTGTATATAGTCTGTAGTCCAATTTGGGGAGAACTGACATCTTGACTATGTTGAACACTCCAATCCATGGACATGGTATATCTTTCCATTTAATTAATACTTTGGCTTTTTTCATCAGCATTTTGTACTTTTCAGTATGCATGTTGTGTATGTGTACATATTCTGTTAGTTTTATCTTTAAGTGTTCCTTTTTCTTAGTGATCTTAATGGTGTTTTAAAATTTGATTTCCACATATTCATTGTGCATATGCAGAAATACTATAGATTTTTATATGTTCAACACATTGCTGAACTGGTTGGTTCTAGGAGTTTTGGGTAGATTCCTTGAGGTTTTCATGTCATCAGCAACTAGGGGTAACTTTGCTTCTTCCTATCCAATCTGTATGCCATTTATTTATTTTCTTTTATTAGTATTATTTTTTGCCATTTATTGCTTTTTGCCAAATTGCACTGACTAGAACTTCCAGTACTGTGTTGAATAGGAGCAGACATTCTAGTCTTTTCTCAAGCGGTCTCCTTTACTCTTCACGGAGGCTCAATGTCTTGCGAGCACCGACCCTCAAGTTAGGTTTTCACCGGTGTTCTTTATCGAGTTGAGGGAGATCTTCCTTCTGGTTTGCTGAGAGTCGTGCTACTGCGACGATCAAGTGGTTTGTCTCCTTTAGCCTGTTCGTATGATGCATGCTGTCCCTCCCTCTCTCTCTCTTTCTTGATAAGTATAGAGAGTTAACAATTTTGTTGACTTTGTTAAAGAATTAACCAGGTTTCATTTATTTTTACGAGGTGGCTTAAACATTGTGAAACATTTTTATTATCTTTTCATTCACTTTTTCACAAATTTTGGAAGCCCCCTCATATTTGTGCATTTTCTATGTCATTTCGTTCT